CCCTCTTTTCCCCCCCCCCCCCCCCCCCCGCGTTCGCAGGCTCCCGGGCCGGCCTCCCGACCCCACAGGCCTATGCCTGATGGACGTGCGCCCCCAGGGTTGGCTGTGCCTGAACTTTGCCCCCAAGGTAGGCCCGGATCCGCGCAGGACTAACGTTTGGAGCCTGGGCCTCCGGCCGGGGAGGGAAATAGGGGAGCGTCATAGGCTTCTGGTCCGGGGAGACTGACCCTTCGCCTCCTTCCGCAGCGGGGCAGCAAATTTAGAGAAGATTGTCCTCAGGATCGTGAGGAACTGGGCCGCCACAGCTGGGCCGTCCTACACACCCTGGCCGCCTACTACCCCGACCTGCCCACCCCAGAACAGCAGCAAGACATGGCCCAACTCATACATTTATTTTCCAAATTTTACCCATGTGAGGAATGTGCAGAAGACATAAGGAAGAGGTAAGTTATTCTGTACCGTCTGCAAGCAGCAGAGCATCCCCCCTGGAGCCTGGGCCCGGGCCCTTGACGGATGTCATAAAGGAGAGCCTCAGAGAAATAGGTGCAGAAATGGCAGAGAGTTGCCAAGAGCAGGGACAAAACAGTGGGGATTGGATCATCAGCCATCTTTCTACTCAAAGGGCAAGCAGCCTGGGGCCGTCTGGCACCCATAGGCCTTTCTGGATGTGGGGGGCAAGGCAGCCCTTGCCTTTTGAAGCCTGGGCAGTTAAAAAACGGTCTCCTGCTGAGCGGAGGCACCAGGGCCCCAGTGCTGAGAAACTGGTCTGGCTGTTAGGTAAGCCTTTGTGCAGGCCCCACCCTTTCCACACTGCTTGGGGCCAGGGAAGCTGGGTGAGGCTTCCTGATTGTTATGAGGTTGTAAAGTTGCCTGATCTGAGTTAATGTCTTGCCCTGGGCTCTTGTGCGGGATTATCAAGCTCCCCACGTGAGGTTTTGAGCAGGCCGAGGAGTCCACCAAGCCTGGACACTATGGGGTCAGCCCTGTTCTGGGAATTACTGTCTCAGAACATGAGATACACCTGGGTGTAGCTTACAGCAGCATCCCATCTCTCTCTGAATTGAGCAGGTGGACCACTGCCCGTCCTCATTCTCTGTGTGCTTCCCCCCCCCCCCGCCCCCCCACAGGATATATAGGAACCAGCCAGACACGCGCACACGGGCATCTTTCACCCAGTGGCTGTGCCGCCTGCACAACGAGGTGAACCGAAAGCTAGGCAAGCCGGACTTCGACTGCTCTAAAGTGGATGAGCGCTGGCGTGATGGTTGGAAGGACGGCTCCTGCGACTAGAGGGGGGCCAGCCAGAGCCCATGGGGGCTGCCTGGCTAGAGAGGGGCAGGGCAATCATTAAAGTGCATCGTAGCACTCTCTAAAGTGGCAGAGCCAGAGCCTGTTGTGTTTCAGTTGGGTGTTCCCCAGCCACGTCCCATGGGGCCCTTTCCTTCTCAGGGTGCTTGCTGATGGCACCCTGATGGCCTCCTCCTCAGCTGAGGTCCTGTGGGGCTGCAGGTGAAGGAGTAGGAACAGCCTAGGCTGTCCCCTCCCCCTTCTTTTTAATAAGTTTTTATTGATTTTTAGAGGCATAGAGAGATAGAAACATCGAAACATCCATCAGCTGCCTCCTGCACGCCCCCTACTGGGGATTGAGTCTACAACCAGGCATGTGCCCTGGCCAGGAATCTACTGGTGACCTCTTGGTTCATGGTTGATGTTCAACCACTGAGCGACACTGGCCAGGCTAGGCTGTCGCTTTTTTCAGGATGTGGCCTCCTGCCCATCTCACACCCTGGTGCCCACTTCCCCACACAGGAAGGTGATAGGCTTGGCTGGCCTCTTCTGTCCCACAAAATCCTTGAGACCAGGCCATTGTCTCCCTACTGTGGCTAGAGACAGCCGCAGTGCCTGTAGCCTCAGAGGCTGTGTGCTGTTTGCCCTCAGGAAAGAGGCCTGAGGCTCAGCTTTCCGCCCTGCTCAGTGCCTACAGGGAGGGAAAGTGCAGGCATGGCTCTCCTCTGAGGGTCACCGACACCAGCTCCTTTTCTGCTCAGCACATAGCCTTCCCTAGCAGTACCAGGCTCCTCCAAGGCTCCTTGGGGTCAGCTTCCTTGGAACTCGAGACAAATAAAATGCTGAAGAAGTGACTTGAGAACCTGCCTTCAGTGTGTTTGCTGGGACTTTCAGTGATGGACAGGGCCTGCCCTCACTCCTCTGGTCAGCTGCTTCCTCCTGTCCAGACTCTGGCTCCTTAGAAAGAGATCCCAAGACAAGAGTGGGCCAGGATATCCCAGGAACAGCAAGGAGGCGGAATTTCTGGAGCTGAGGGAGGGTTAAAGAGGTGAAGGGGAGTCAGCGTGAAGTCTTCAAGGCCCCAGCAAGGACATGGTTTTAACTCCCAGCTTCTGTGACAGGAAGGTCTTGGAGGATTTGGAGCTGAAGAATGGTGAGATGTTACTTCGGAAAGTTTCCTCTGAGCTGGGGTGAGGCAGGCATGGGTGGAAGCAGGGAGAGCAGGCACCCATTGGCAGCTGAGGGGGAAGCTGGCCGCAGGGTGGATGGGAGAGGATGCCGGATATATTCTGAAGGTACAGAAGAGGAAGAGCCAAAGGTGACCGGGGTTCTGGCCCAAGAAGCTGGGAGGATGGCGTTGCTCTTTGTATCAGTGAGATGAAGAAGGCTGTGAGGGGAGCAGGTTTGGGGGTGACCTGGACCTAGCTTTTGAACCTTTCTGATCTGCTCAGCCATACCTGCTCCCAAGCCTTGGCTCCCAGCAAGAATGTCCCAGCAATAGTGTGTCCCATCCTATAGTCATAAAGCTCTGGTCTCCTCTGTCCCCCATGTTTCAGCCTCTCCCTAGGCAAAGGGCCAGCCTTTGCCACGGCCTCCTCACCACCTTCACCTGACCTGTTCTCCCAGGGGTGCTGGCTTCCACAACGTGCTGCCCAGGTGACACAAAGAAATAGGTGGGGACTTGTCAGCAGATAAGTTTTCTTCCTCCCCTTGATGGACTGTCCCCAGCACATCTCTGGCCTATCCTGAGTAGCCTGTGAGCCACTGTGGTCGGTTCAAGAACATACTGCCTATATCTGCTCTCTCCTTGCTTCATTTCCCTTATCCCCTAACGCGCTTCCCTGAAGTTTCACCCCCTAATAAAACTCTTAAACTTTGCCACAGACTTTTCCAGGGCAACCAGGTGAAGACAAGTGGGGCTCTAGTCCAAGAGAAGGTTCTAGCTGGAGCTGTCAGCACAGTCCAATAGCATAGAGGAGAAGAGCCATGATCATGTCCGGGGCCTCTAAGGATCACAGGTTGGACAAGAGGAGGAAACCTGAAAGGGTGACAAGGAAGGGCCTGTAAAGTAAGAGGCACATGAGGAGAAGGTGACATTCATTAGAAGCCTTGCTAGGAGGGTGGGGACCTCGTGTCTGAATTGCCCCTGTAAAGGGAGCAGTGACATGGGGACAGCTGGAGGGGCAATGGGGTCACGAGTTGATGTTTTTTAATATAGAAGAAAGTGCAGCATGTTTGGGTGTTGATGCAAATGATTAAGGGGCAAATGGATGATGTCAGAGACCAAGATGGGGAACAGTTGCTGACAGGTGAGAAGTAGTAGGACTGGATGCAGTTTCATGCACTTGACAGAAGACAGGTGGGCAACACCTCTGGCCACACCTGCCCTGGGATAGGTTTCCCAGGAGGCTGGGCCAGGCACCACCCTCTGTCCACACAGATGCTATGACAGAGACCTGGATTCGAGTCCCAGTTCTTCACTTTCTATGATCCAGAACTCAACCGGTCTGCCTATTTACCACCTGAGAAGTGGGGGTGATGATAGTTTCTACCCCCACAGGTCATTGTGAAGTACTTAGCACTGTAAATGCTCAACAAATGCAAACTTGTCTTATCGTTGCCTAGATCAGCAGTCGCCAACCTTTTGGACCTCACGGACCACCAGTGGTCCTAGAATGCCGGAAGCCGGTCCATCCTTGCTGCTTGACACAGTCGCTGCAGGAAAGAAACATCTGCACAGCATATGTTTCAATGGACCTGGCATATATAGCATATTGTTCTTAATATGTTTGCTCTCAGTGCCATGTGTTTTAACCAAGGTCACCTCTCTGAGAAAGGTTGTTTCCCCAGGTGGGGATTTTTCCCTGAGGTTAGGGAGGGGATACAACCCCTTAATTAAGTGCCAGGCGGGTAGTTAAGCTACATAATCTTTACTCCCTGGAATGGAGATAAGAAACGCCCTAACCTTTGTAATAGAAATTGACAGGATTAAAATCGGCTAGTATAAATACAGATGTAACAAGACAATAAACATCAGATCCTCATCAGGTCCTCATCAGCTCCTCATCAGCTCCTCATCAGATCCTAACCAGAACCTAGCCAGAGAACATGGCAAAAGATCCTGGACAGAACCTGGCTACAGAACTTCACTGTAGAACCTAGACCGAACATGGCAAAAGAACCTGGATAGAACCTGGCTAAAGAACCTGGTGACTGAACCTGGCTGAACTTTGGCTGGAGATCCTGGCTAGAGGTCCTGACTAGGCTGCTGATCAACTGAAGGCTGTCTTCGTGTCATTCCTTCTTCGCCGACTCCATCCACACCTTTGGGGACCCCTGGACCCGCTGGGATTGGACCCCAGCACTCGGATAGAAACATGGGAGTCATCCGGGCTCCCGCTGGGCTGGGCTGGGCTGGAAGGAACCTGAAGGAAGGGACACTAACGGGGGCCCGGGGATCTATGGAAAAGACCCAGCGGTGGTACGGGGCCGGGAGGTCCCAGTTCAGCCAAACTCCCATCTCTGATGGTTCTCCCTGCTCCTTGGCCCCAAACGAAATATGTCAGTCACAAGTCAGTCCAGGAAACCCAGGCGCATGGAAGGCTCAGAACCACCTTGGAATGACACCTGGCCACCCACAGGGAAGGAGCAGAGATGCCCCAGCTCCCACTTATTTTTTTAAATAAACAATTGTGTTTTTTAAAAAAATACATTTTATTGATTTTTTACAGAGAGGAAGGGAGAGGGATAGAGAGAAACATCGATCAGCTGCCTCCTGCACACCCCCTACTGGGGGTGTGCCCGCAACCAAGGTACATGCCCTTAACTGGAATCGAACCTGGGACCCTTCAGTCCGCAGGCTGACGCTCTATCCACTGAGCCAAACCTGTCAGGGCCCCAACTCCCACTTATACTGGCCTGTGGGCTTTGCCCACCTGGACAAGTGCCCCTGGGAGCAGAGACCATCCTCTCTCCATGTCAGGCGGCTAGGACCCGCTGAAGGAGAAGCTAGGGTGGAGTGTGGGTGGGAGGGGGACTCATGGGGGGAAAGGCCCCAGTGACCAACCTTTGGTTTGCAGGGGACCAAGGCCAGGGAGCCCTGTTCCTATTTCCTGAGGGGGAAAGACACTAGAGCCATCTGGCCTAAGTTACACATTCATGAAAGGGCCCTGCTCAGAGGAGAGGCATGGGGTCAGGTGCCCTCTGTCCATCTGCCCGGATACAGCAAAGGCGGAGCCCGGTGCCCGCCTGCACTGCTGACTCCTTGTGAGGGGCGGTGAGGCCCCAGCTCCTTAGCCCTGCCCCCTCCCTGATCGTGATCTGGTGAGTCCATCTTGGACCCGGGTCATGCAGCTGAGGGCTGGGGGGGGAAGGAGAGCAGACGGGAGGGACCAGAGGGCTCCAGCCTGGTGCGTGGACCAGTGAGGGGGTGCGGGCTCGGCCCCGCCCCGCGCGTCCCCGCCGCGGCCAGTGCGCGCTCCCGGGAGGCAGCGGAGGCAGCGGCAGCTCCAGCAGCGTTCGCAGCAGCCCCGGGCTATCTTGGGCAGGGCCGGCCGGCGGACAGACTGACAGAGGGCGCCAGGGGTGCGCGGCCCGCTGGGGCCAGCCATGGAAGGAGCTTCGTTTGGCGCGGGCCTTGCGGGGGCCGCCGTAGACCCCGTGAGCTTCGCGAAGCGGCCCCAGACCCTGCTTCGGGTCGTGTCCTGGGTGAGTGGCCGCTGTCCCGGTACCTGATCCCACCCCGTCCCTCGCCCTCACCCTCTTCCTCGCTGTCCCCTCCCTCGCGGGCCGCAGGTTGGGGTGACATCACCGTGCTGGGCGCGCCCACCTGGAGCGGGGGAGGGGCTGCCGGCGACAGCCTGGGACCTTGAGAGGTCACTTCCCGCCGTCCCCCACCCCCAATTCCTCCGTAGGTCGAACGGTCCCCTTCTTAAGCCCTCGCTCCGTTTTTCCTGTTCTCATGACTTAGAAGCAGGCACAGGGGTGGGGACGGGATTCACGGAGGGGCTCGGGGAGCTGAATCTGGCACAGCCCCCTTCCCCGCCCCCCTCCCGCTTCTCCTGCACACACACCCTCCAGGCTCCTTAAAGGGAGCTGGCCCTTCCCAGGCCCCCCAGTTGCAACTGTGGGGGGGGGGGGGAGTTTGATCAGGGATCCTCTGGGTGGGGCAGCCAGATGGGGCTCTACTTTGGGATGGTTGACTGGTGGTGGTGTGGGAGGGGCAGATTTTAGGGGCAGTCTAGCTTATCGGGGCATCCCTAGGCTTGGTGGCCTGCTCCTCCTTAATACTTCTCCAGGTAGGAGAGATGGGAGGTGAGGTGCCGAGTTCTGGGTTTTGTCCAGCCAGTAACGCCTGGTAGCTACATACTCGATGGTCTTGAGTAGGGCGGTGCCCAGTGTAGGGCAGGGGGAGTGACTCTGGCCAGACCAGGATACAGGAACCCTACCTTCAGGTCCCAGCTCTGGTTCCACTTGTGTACCACTCCGGGGGGGGGGTGGGGTGGGGGGGGGGAATCCAAAATCTTGACCTCCGTTTTCCCCTTGGATCCAATCTTCCAGGAAGTAGAGTAGGAAAGGAGAGAGATGAAGTTGAAACTGGAGATCTTTTTTTAGAAACAGGCTTGCCCAGAGCTTAAAGAGCTGCATCTGGCTTAAAAGGATCATGGTCTAGAATTTAAAAATAAAATGAAATGAAATGACTGTGTTCCACCTCCTACCTGCCTTCCAGCCCTCGTGAGGACAGAGCGCTGACGTTGAACTGAACCCCAGAGATCAGTCCTCTCGCCTTTTGAGCCCAAACACTTATAGTCATGTGGGGTCATCAGCACTTGAGTGCCCACCAAGTGTAGAATGCTGGATGGACATTCTTTCTCCGTCCCCAACACCCCATTAGCTGGGCCTGTCCATCACGTATGATATGCTAACGGACAGGGCCACACGGCTTCTACATGCCGAGGGTGGGCAGGTTCCGTTCCTTGGAGTGTCCCTCTGCTGTGCCCCTGCCCCCTGGCCTCTCTCTCCTGGCTCCAGCCCTGCCTCCCCCAGGCTCGAGCCTGGACTCACACTCTGGAGGCTCCTGCTCCCACCTCTTGCGTGGCCCCCACGCGGTGCACAAGACCCAGCTCGAATGTCAGCCCCTGCTCTTACCAGCAATGCGACCTCAGACAAATCACGTCACCTGTTGGAGCCCCAATTTCCTCGTCCGTAAAGGGAGTAAGAACAACGAAGGGCACCTTCGTGTTTTTCTGGGAGGATTCTATGAGCGAACACGCATAAAGCAGCAGTTTTAGGCATCGTGTCTGGGCATAGGGATGCTCTCTACACGGTACACGTGGTCCATGATGACGAAATGCGG